AGCACAAAAACCTGGTTTAATGACCATGGGATTACTAGGCTTGATTGGCCAGCAAACTCGCCTGACCTGAACCCCATATAGAATCTATGGGGCATTGCCAAGAGAAAGATGACAGACATGAGACCGAACAATGCAGAAGAGCTGAAGGTCGCTACTGAAGCATCCTGGTCTTCCATAACACCTCAGCAGTGTCACAGGCTGATAGCTTCCATGCCACGCCGCATTGAGGCAGTAATTGCTGCAAAAGGGGCCCAAACCAACTACTGAGTACATATGCATGCTTATACTTTTCAGAGGTCTGATATTGTTCTATGTACAATCCTTGTTTTATTGATTGCATGTAATATTCTAATTTTCTGAGATTGTAGATTTGGGGTTTTCATGAGCTGTAAGTCATAATCATCACAATTATGACAAATCACGGCTTGAACTATCTTGCTTTGCATGTAATGAGTCTCATATATTAGTTTCACCTTTTAAGTTGCATTACTGAAATAAATGAACTTTTGCACGATATTCTAATTTTTCGAGTTTCACCTGTATACACAGCAGGTAAAATAAGTAATGAACACATCACCAATTTTCTCAGTAAATATATTTGTAAAGGTGCTATTGACATGTATTTTTCACCACACGTCAGTAACAACCCATGCAATTCATACATACAAAGAAACCAAAACAAATAAGTTCAGAAATTATGTTATGTGTAATAAAATGGAATGACACAGGGAAAAAATATTGAACCCATGAAGAAAGGGAGGTGCAAAAAGGCATGGAAAGCCAAGACACCAGCTGAAATCTATCAGTAATTAGAAAGCAACCTTTGCATTGTTGCAAAACATACTGATGGCATTGGCTACAGAAGGATTTTTAAACTTCTGAATGTTCCAGTGAGCTCTGTTGGGGCCATAATCTGGAAGTGGAAAGAATATCATTTCTCCATAAACCAGCCATGACCAGGTGCTCCTCACAAGATTTCTGACAGAGGAGTGAAAAGAATCAGTAGAGTCGTCCAAGAGCCAAGGACCACTTGTGGAGAGTTTCAGAAAGACCTGGAATTAGCAGGTACAATTGTTTCAAAGAAAACAATAAGCAATGCACTCAACTGCCATGGCCTGTATGCACGCTCACCATGCAAGACTCCATTTCTGAAGAAGAAGTATGTTGAAGCTCATTTAAAGCATGCTGCACAACATTTGGACAAACCTGTGGAATACTGGGGAAAATATAGTCTGGTACTGGCACTGCACATCACCCCAAAAACACCATACCAACAGTGAGGTTTGGAGGTAGGAACATCATAGTGTGGGGCCGTTTTTCAGCATATGGTACTGGCAAACTTCATATCACTGAAGAAAAGATGAATGGAAAAATGTACCAAGACATTCTTCATAAAAATCTGTTGCCATTTACCAGGATAATGGAGACTAAATGAGGGTGGACATTTCAGCAAGACAATAATCTCAAACACAAAGCCAAAGAAACTCTAAATTGGTTTCAGAGAAAGAAAATAAAGCTGTTAGAATGGCCCAGCCAATCACCTGACTTGAATCTAATAGAAAATCTATGGAAAGAACTAAAGACCAGAGTTCATAGAAGAGGCCCACGAACCTTCAAGATTTGAAGATGGTTTGTGTGGAAGAATGGGCCAAAATCACACCTGAGCAATGCATGCGACTAGTTTCTCCATACAGGAGGTGTCTTGAAGCTGTCATTACCAACAAAGTATTAAATACATTTCAGTTAGCGTGTTCAATACTTTTCCCCATTTCATTCCATTTTACTACACGTAACTTAATTTCTGAACTTATTTGTTTTTGGTTTATTTGTATGTATGGATTGCAGGGGTTGCTACCGACGTGGTGAAAATGTCATGTCAATAGCACCTTTAGAATTGTATTTATTGAAAAAAAATGGTGACGTGTTCAATACTTATTTTACCGTGTGTCTGTGTATACACACACATACATATATATATATATTATATTTATTACTTTCACTGTTTCACAGTATAAATAAGCCCCTTATAGTAATGATCATCTGCTGTTTATGTACTATAAAGGGCTAATTTTTTTTAACCCCATAATGACAGGTGATAAAAAAAAGCATGCTGCTGCTACTAAATGTCTTATGCTAGCCATACACATATTGATATTTGGATGAACGGATGACTGTCATTCAAAAATTTCACTGCTTTTAACATTCAATTTTGAAATGATTGTAATTTCTGAGAAAAAAAACACACTCTCCGAAATTGGTTCAATCAAGAAAAGTTTTCTATTCTGCTCCTTTGAAATTTTTCTGTCACTCTGCTAGAAAACGGAAGTTGATTCAACCCCATTAACAATTGGGAAATTGAACAAACATTATTAAATCGAAAATTTATGGCCATCATAAGTGACAGCAGGTGCAGGTATTAAACTACCGGCCTATGACAAGGTAGCGTGTCATGCATAATATTTTTACATTCCTGTCTGAAAATCTGCAAAACAGCGTTTTAGGTCTTTTTACATTTTTTTTTCTTTCAATAAAAATGTTGATCTCTGAGTCTGATATGTACCAGATTCAACCTCTAATAGCATGCACAGACTCTTCTGTCTGTTATTCTCAGAGTGGATTAGATAGTTTGTTCTCTAATCATACAGCTGTGTATTTGTATTTACCACTGCATATAGATATTCAAGAATAATGTCATTTTTTTAAACTTTACATATTAAACTAAATTATGCACCATACAGTTTGTGTCCAAAATTATTCAACCCCCAATGCTGTAAAGGGGTTTAGGGACTATAGTGTACATTTGGAATTGTATTCAGAATCAAATCCTACAAGGACGTTGTAACTACCCAAATGCAACTAAAATGACATCAATTGTTTATGTAATACAGTAGTAAATGGTTCTTATGTGGTTTCTTCATTGCCACAATTATTCAACCCTTAAAGACTACCACTCTGAAGAAAAGGTTCATACAGGTGCTTTCCATCAGGTATTGAAAACACCTGTGGATGTCACCGAGCAGCAATCAAGCATAATAAGCACCAATTAGGCAGCTTTAAAATGACTGTGATACTCAGCTCCTTCTAGACATTTACTGGTGTGGTTACAAACATGGTGAAGGCAAGAGAATGGTCCAGGAAGACAAGAGAAGAGGTGATTTCTCTTCACAGGAAGGGCAATGGCTATAAGAAGATTGCAAAGATGTTAAACATACCAAGAGACACCTTAGGAAGCATCATTCGCAAATTCAAGGCAAAAGGCACTGTTGAAACGCTACCTGGTCGTGGCAGAAAGAAGATGCTGACTTCGACTGCTGTGCGCTACCTGAAGCGTAGAGTGGAGAGAAGTCCCCGTGTGACTGCTGAGGAACTGAGAAAAGATTTGTCAGATGTGGGTACAGAAGTTTCAGCCCAGACAATAAGACGCACACTGCGTAATGAAGGCCTCCGTGCCAGAACTCCCAGGCGTACCCCCTTGCTGTCTCCAAAGAATAAGAAGAGTCGACTGCAGTATGCCAAAAGCCATGTGGACAAACCACAAAAGTTGTGGGATAGTGTTCTGTGGACTGATGAAACAAAATTAGAACTGTTTGGGCCCATGGATCAACGCTATGTTTGGAGGAGGAAGAACAAGGCCTATGATGAAAAGAACACCTTGCCTATACTGTGAAGCATGGTGGAGGGTCAATCATGCTTTGGGGCTGTTTTGCTTCTGCAGGTACAGGGAAGCTTCAGCGTGTGCAAGGTACCATGAATTCTCTTCAGTACCAGAGATATTGGATGGAAACGTGATGCAGTCCGTCACACACACCTGAGGCTTGGGAGACGTTGGACCTTTCAACAGGACAATGATCCCAAGCATACCTCCAAGTCCACTAGAGCATGGTTGCAGAGGAAAGGCTGGAACATTTTGGAGTGGCCATCGCAGTCACCAGACTTAAATCCGATTGAGAACCTCTGGTGGGACTTAAAGAAAGCAGTTGCAGTGCGCAAGCCTAAGAATGTGACTGAACTGGAGGCCTTTTGCCATGAAGAATGGGCGAAGATACCCGTAGATCGCTGCAAGACACTTGTGTCAAGCTATGCTTCACGTTTAAAAGCTGTTATAACTGTAAAAGGATGCTGTACTAAGTACTAAGATTGAATGTCACTTGGGGGTTGAATAAAAACTGATAATGCTGTGAGCACAGAAAAGACATTTGTGGTTATTTCATTATAACTGTTATGTTATATTTGTCTGACCTACAAGTGCCTCTTTAATGTAAATGTAAGCAAGATGACTGAATGATCAAAAGCAATGTCAAACTGGCCAAAACACTCAATTTCAGTGGGGGTTGAATAATTTTGGACACAACTGTACTTTTTTTGAGGGTTTAATCCGATTAATGGAAACAATAATCGGCCAACTAATCGATTATGAAAATAATCGTTAGTTGCAGTTGCAGCCCTATATTACAGCCTATTGCACAAAACTTTTGTCAACCATGTCTACATTGCCATAAACCAATATGAAATGACATCCATATATGTTATAGTAATGACCAAGGATCTTTAAATTTCAATTCCCAAGAAGCACAAACAAAGAATTGCCTTTGTTCTGTACAATGGCTGTGCTTGCCAAACAAAAATCACATGCAGCCCTGTGTCTGGCACACACAATATTGTGATAAAGATTTTATGGTTTCCTTTCAGACCTAGAAAGAAAGGGGTAGCGGAAGCTGGGTTTAAGGGACTTCCTGTACCGAAAAGCTCCCCAAAACTAAAACACCCAGGTATTGATTCTCATCAGCAGAATATTATTAGGCAAAACAAAGAAAATATTCAATTTTTTTTTAGACATGTGGTATTCATTCGGTATGTGTCAACATGGAACACAATAAATCAGCCCCAAACACAGCTGTTAAACAACTTTGTTACTGGAAAAAAAAAATTAAAAAGATTATGCATAATAAAATATCTTATGATTACTTGGTCTGTGTGATTTTCAGCAGTGTGGTACTCACTCTTCTCTTAAGCCGCTCTCTCTCCTTCAAGGTCAGGGTGTCTGCTTTAGCAATAACAGGCACTATGTTCACCTTTCCATGAAGAGCCTTCATGAATTCCACATCCAACGGTTTCAATCTGGATTAAAAAACCCCCAAAAAACTAGCATGAGTAATATGACTCTGTGCAGACTGTACTATCACGCAGAAAAAAGGTAACTGAATGTAGTCAATAAGGCAGGGTTGATGGGGAAAACCCCATACCTTGTCCTTACAAACAAATCATCAATGACTGCACCCAATATTTCTATTTTCATGGGTCCCATTTAAAATAATATTGAAACATCAAACACAACATCCCAAAGTACCCAAAATAGATATTCTAGAAAAGGTTAGGTCAATTTTAATGCAATAAATATCATACAAAGCTCTAACTTTTCTATTCTGCGCAGTATATATTTCTGACGCGTCACAATAAACACCAATAGGATATGTTTTCCAAAAGAAGCGTATCAGATATCATCAATAATTAGTCCCTCCTCTCTAGTCATGTGACTGAGCCTGAGCATAGTCTCTGAAATCTTGCTTTCTAATTTCAGAGTAGTACATAATGAGTTGTATAGTGGAGAGGAGACTAAGACAAGAACATGTAATGCCAGAGCATTGTACATAATCCAAGAACCTGCATCATGTACCTATGAAGCTATAAGCAGCAAAAACTAAAAAAGATAACCAAGGCCTCATGCATACAGGATGTTAAAAGAAACTCTCCTAGAAGCTGCCTTCCTGGCAGCAGCGTATTTGCAGAAAAAAAATGCCTGACGCTTGTAAAAGTATCTAACACTTTTACAAGTGTTTAGGCACATTTACAAGCATCAAGCACTGAGGCGTTAATTTATTTAATCACCCAGAATAATAACTTATTCTAGCCATTGAAATGAGTGCCTAGCGTTATCACAAGTTTGGGCGCATTTACACGCATCAACCAGTTTATTTCTGCCAAATTGCTGCTGCACCTCAACGCACTGGCCCTGGGTTCTTCTTACCCTACCTTTAAACGCTTCTGCCACTAAAAGCTCCTAGAGGTCTATGTGTGCAAGGACACATAGAATAACATGGAAGGCTATTTACAAGCAGTAACAAAAAAAAAAAAAAAAAACAAACCGCCTGGCACCCCTAACAGTGGCTGCAAAAATGCCCTGTGTGCATGAGGCCTAAACCTCAAAACAAGAAACTAGAAAGATTTTCAGCAGGTACAGAAAATGCCGGTTGATTTTTCTAGTTTATTTCCATCCTGTGAGATGAACTTGAAGCAAAAACAATATTATCTTCCTTCTGTAAAATACTAATCTCTCCACCACCAATGTAATGGAGATGAACATAGTAGGCATGCTTGAATTCCAGCCTGGCCACACAAGATTACCAGGTAAAATATATGGGGAGGAAAGCTGAAGAAACCAAAACTAATGCAGGCACCTAATTTAGGTAATGGTAAAAGTTGCAGTATATTAAAGCCCAATCATTCAAAATAAAAAAAAAAAACACAAAAATCAGCACAAGGGACACGACTTACTATTAATGTAAAAGCGACAACTTCCAGCACTCAGGATGGGGCCCTCTCCCTATAGCTGCTAACACTTAACCTCCTACCACAGTGTGAATTAGATCAATAAATAAATAAATAGTGCAGCGCTACATCCTAAATAAACATATAAATATATAAAATAATCAAATCAATAAATATCGGTGTAACAGTGCAAAAGTGTAATTCATGTGTTCCACCAGGAAACAACAAAAGTGATCACGTGACACATATATAAAATTAATAAATTATTAACCACATCAGTATATATCATAAACATGTGCAAACTTGCAAATAAAGTGTAACACGTGTATTGCACCAAAACATAAAAGTGACAAAGTGACAAATATTGCTTAATAAAGTGCAATCAATGTGCACCCTATAACGGGAATAATCAAAGTGACCAAGTGACTTAATAACCTATAAAGTACAAATGATCTAAAAAACACCAACACTCTGTCCATATAAAACATGTATATATATATATATATATATATATATATATATATATATATATATATATATATATAGTGTATTTCATACACAATCTTCATGCAGGTGCCATCCAGTGTTCACACTGTGTATATCCAATAATGGCTGCAATGGCCCCTCACCTCCTTACATTGACCCCACAGGGCCAACACGCTTTGGAACACAAAAACCACTCTGGTTTGTCACAGGATCCTCCCCAGCGATGTATGCTCTCTACCCAGCTGCTTCTCCGGTTCCTCCTTATATAGAACTCACAGGGACACCTTGCCTCAAGGGACAAACACCACTCTGTTGTATCTCAGGATCTTTCCAAACGCTGTATACTCTATATTCCCTCTCCGGTTCATATATAAACAGAAGACTCCCATAGTGTAAAACCGCATTTAATACATCAATTAAACAGAAAATATCTACTCACATTCTTCTTCATCTTTCTTATAACATGCACATATATGGCTCCTTCACCTCATGCTATGCCTGCCTTACATGGGAAATGGATATAGAGGTTTCAAATATGGCCGCCACGCCGGAAAAAATGACGTCACCCGCCCTTCCCAGAATCCTCCTCGCGCACCGACGCGTTGCAGGTTGTTTTTTTTCCGTGCAGAAAATGCTGCCGTGTGGGCTGCAGTACCAGAGCTGACCAGCGGGTGCACGGACACGTGACGTCAGACGTATCGACGCTGACCGGAAGTGCGATCGCGGCCATCTTGGAAGTGGGAACATGTGGCTAATGTTTCCCTAAACTTGTTTGTATCTGTATCCCTGTGAGGAGGAGCTGCTTCACCCTTATTTTAATGTAAGTTGCCAAATAAAGGAAGACTGTGTTTTATCTACTATCGGTAACTGTGAATTTTCTCATGAGGGAAATGGAGGAATAATATTGGAGGAAGCCTGAAATCTGAATGATCTGAATGATGAGATAGTAACCCAGAGTGGTGTGATGCCCTATCTCTTCCTGCATAGGGTAATTATCCATCAGCACATGAGGTGGAGATTGCTGGTTTGGGTCTAAGGTGTACACTTATGTATACAGAGTGTGGTGACACACATCGTTTGGAGTGATATCTTTAGTTTCACTTGTGTTTGCAGCTGACACTTTATGTGAGTGTCTTTCATTGATATATTTCTGCATGTATAGAGATACTCACTTATAGAGTATACACGTATATATAGATTTTGCATGTTGCACAGAGAGTGGCACGTGTGTTTTATTATTTAAATGGTATGACACTATGTTAAGTTTTTTTCTTTGAGGTTTACTGTCATCAGGATTTGCAAGTTTGAAGAAGAAAGAATATAATGGCTTACATGTGTGGAGATTTATTTTGATAATTGAGACATTTGGGACACTATTTTGAAATTTTGGACACTTTTTATAAGGTGGGATTGGTGGATATATTTATTATTTAGGTAAAAAAAAGTAAAGTTTTATATATTTTGTTTGGGTAGAGAGCATACATCGCTGGGGAGGATCCTGTGACAAACCAGAGTGGTTTTTGTGTTCCAAAGCGTGTTGGCCCTGTGGGGTCAATGTAAGGAGGTGAGGGGCCATTGCAGCCATTATTGGATATACACAGTGTGAGCACTGGATGGCACCTGCATGAAGATTGTGTATGAAATACACTATATATATATATATATATATATATATATATATATATATATATATATATATATATATATATATATATTATATGGACATGTTTTCACAGAGTGTTGGTTTTTAGATCATTTGTGCTTTATAGGTTATTAAGTCAGATAAATAAATATAAATGAAAATGAATGAATATTATCTCATAATAATATAATATAACTTAAATTAAATCATGCCCAATGCTACAAATTAATAATAAATAACTAAAAACAATGTGTTTAATATTATAAAATATATGGTATAATGTGCCTCAAATCAAGTGAATCAAAGAAAAGCCTCTTTGTTCAAACCATATTAGAAAAAAATATGAAATGTGCAAAAATTGTGCATGTGCAAAGTGTGCAAATATTGCCCAAAACAGTGAAAAATATATATATGATAAAGTGCAATACTTAATTATATCTAAAAAAAATATATAATGATGCAAAGCTGTGCAATTAATATATAGTAATCACTACACTTGTGCAACCTGAAGCGGTGATTAGGACTATATGCTTCTAATCCTTATTTGAAATAAGATAAAACGTCCCAATTCATGCAGATGTATGGAAAGTCTATTGTTGTTATAGTAGACTGCGGTGTTGCTTTCCTTCCACTAGATGGCCTCCCAGTTCCTTCCGAATTGTGAGGGCTGGATGAATGGGTATGGATATCTCCCCTCGTGTGGTGTGGGGTCTATCCCTTATCACCTCTTCCTCCCCTTTTGGTCCTCCGTTTTAGGCCATGAAAGAGAAAAGAGATCCCCACATGGTGCTTATATCTTTCAAAAAGGTTTTAATGCGTCTCCTGACAAGTTCAAACTCACATTTCCAAAATCAATACAGAGCGTTTGTTAATATGTGTGCCCTCGCACAAAGACAGTACTCGCCGTTCCGCTAGTTGTGGCGTCGTTACGTCAGAGCCCCTCCCCTACGCGTTGCGCCACAGGGTCACGTGGCTTCCTCAGGGGGATGTGATCACATCCCCCTGAGGAAGCCACGTGACCCTGTGGCGCAACGCGTAGGGGAGGGGCTCTGACGTCACGATGCCACAACTAGCGGAACGGCGAGTACTGTCTTTGTGCGAGGGCACACATATTAACAAACGCTCTGTATTGATTTTGGAAATGTGAGTTTGAACTTGTCAGGAGACGCATTAAAACCTTTTTGAAAGATATAAGCACCATGTGGGGATCTCTTTTCTCTTTCATGGCCTAAAACGGAGGACCAAAAGGGGAGGAAGAGGTGATAAGGGATAGACCCCACACCACACGAGGGGAGATATCCATACCCATTCATCCAGCCCTCACAATTCGGAAGGAACTGGGAGGCCATCTAGTGGAAGGAAAGCAACACCGCAGTCTACTATAACAACAATAGACTTTCCATACATCTGCATGAATTGGGACGTTTTATCTTATTTCAAATAAGGATTAGAAGCATATAGTCCTAATCACCGCTTCAGGTTGCACAAGTGTAGTGATTACTATATATTAATTGCACAGCTTTGCATCATTATATATTTTTTTAGATATAATTAAGTATTGCACTTTATCATATATATATTTTTCACTGTTTTGGGCAATATTTGCACACTTTGCACATGCACAATTTTTGCACATTTCATATTTTTTTCTAATATGGTTTGAACAAAGAGGCTTTTCTTTGATTCACTTGATTTGAGGCACATTATACCATATATTTTATAATATTAAACACATTGTTTTTAGTTATTATTAATTTGTAGCATTGGGCATGATTTAATTTAAGTTATATTATATTATTATGAGATAATATTCATTCATTTTAATTTATATTTATTTATCTAATTTATTATATTTTACAACACATCATATATCACTAAATTATATTTTGAGGAGCGCGACACAAATAATATTTTATTTTGCTTATTTATACACATTTATTTGAGTATGTGTTTTATGTGTTGATGCACCATTATATTTTAAATAATTAATTGTAAGCACTTTTATGTCACCATAGTAGCTCACAAGTACACACCCCTATAAAATAGGTTATTAAGTCACTTGGTCACTTTGATTATTCCCGTATAGGGTGCACATTGATTGCACTTTATTAAGCAATATTTGTCACTTTGTCACTTTTATGTTTTGGTGCAATACACGTGTTACACTTTATTTGCAAGTTTGCACATGTTTATGATATATACTGATGTGGTTAATAATTTATTAATTTTATATATGTGTCACGTGATCACTTTTGTTGTTTCCTGGTGGAACACATGAATTACACTTTTGCACTGTTGCACCGATATTTATTGATTTGATTATTTTATATATTTATATGTTTATTTAGGATGTAGCGCTGCACTATTTATTTATTTATTTACTATTAATGTACTGTGTCCCTTGTGCTGCAGGCTCTTTGCTTCCTAGAAATGTTCCAGTGCTGCGGGGGTTTATAACTGTCATTTGCACTCATTAAGAGTACCCATCTGTGCCCGCCCTTTCAGCCCAGCTACACATTCATAGAAGCCAGTACTACAGCATCCATAAATGAAGCATGATCTATAAATGGAGGGGGTGGACCTTTCAATCATCTACCAATCCTTCATTTATAGATCCAAATTTCACTCATAGAGGCTGTAATAGTTCTATAGCAAGTCATGTCCCTTGTGCTGATCTTTGTGTTTTTATTTTGACTACACTTAGGCTTTACATTTTAGTTTTTGGGTTTAGATAAACTTAAAAGTGAAACTTTACTCAGGAAAGAACTTTTTTTTTGTTCCTCCCCCTTACTCTCACAGAAATATAAAGTACCTTTTTATTGACTGATTTATTGATTGTCCTGCTTTACAGCCTAGGCCAGGCCCTACTGCTTCCTGGGATAGGTGTGATGCCTCTCAGGAGGCAGTGAATTACTAAAGGCGCACACAGCAAGATGCAGCCCATGCGCAGCACAGACATGCATCTGTGTGTGCACTCAAGGGCCATGGACAGCTATGGAACTCAGCTGCCAGAAATGGAGATGTTTACATGCAGAAATCTCCCTCACGTGTAGAGATGATCCACTAGTTTCTGCCAGATCCCAAATAAATGTCAGAGCATATCTATGTATGGGCCAAATTTTGAGAGATGACACAGAAGAGGGGTGGGTGGAGAAATATATTCAGCAGTTCAGTTCCTTTTTAAAGTGGATGTAAAATCCAATAAACAGTATTCTTTAAAATATTACTGTAATTTCGAAAATATTTTCAAATTTGTTAAAATCGACAGCTTTCATTAAAAGAAAACCTCCTATTCCAATCTTGAAAGTCCTTGTTCAGGCACTTCCTGTAACAGGGAGAGAACACTCTATCCATGTCCCAATGGCGTGTAGTTCCTACCTCACATGTGCTTCCAGTGGGGATCATAAGCTGCAATGCTGGCCTTTATTGGGCAGGCATTTTCAATATTTTTACCATCAGGCATTCTGAGCAATATTGTGCACACAATTCTGGAGCACATACATGTAGGCAAGAAGTGGCTTTAAATCATCTCCACTCTGAAATAACATTGAAGAGCTTCAAGGTGTCTCATTTAATATGTGCTGGTTGTAAATAGGCTTACCCGTGTCCAAAAGGAGAGATGAAATAAAAGCAGCAGTGAACACGATTATCGATGATGTGCCGTCTGTTCAGGCCGCTCTCATCATGTAGGTAACGTTCAAATTGGTTATCTATATAATGAATGATTGTTTTGAAACTGGGGATAAAAAAAAAAATGCTTTCATTGTTGTATAGGTTATACAAGCAAAAACAAAATGCAGGTATTTTTTCAACTTATTTCCGCAACTGTATAATACTACATAAATATTAAGACTTCTTTCACACTATGTATTGGCTGCTTTTTACTGTGCTAAAAACATAGCAAAAATTCAAGCTCTTAAAATCCTATGGGACTCTCCACACCACTACACTATGGGTGTGGTGCATTTTAAAAAGTCCTGCATGCTGTATCTTTGGTGTGATTTTGAAAATTGCACCAAAATTGCAAGTTAAAAAAATGCATCAAAAAACACACTTGCATTGCATTTTTGGTGGTTTTGTTTAGTCACATGTCCAAGTTTCACAGGTGCATGCTGGGTGTGCATTTTTACAGTTTTTTAGTTTTTTTTTTTTTTTTTGCTTTGGAGCAGTGTGAAAGCAGCCTAAGGAACAAATTCCACTCATATTCATGTTTACCATGGGGCCACATTTGTTACAGCAGAAGGGATGTTCTTGGGCCGTGCACGCACTAAATTTCAGTCTGGGACAAAAATAAAGCCAAATAGATTTGCAGTGCTGCTTATTAAATATTGCCTGCGGTGTTAGGTGTGTGTATTAGAATGCAATAAAAGGGCTATATTGTGTAATGAAAAGCTCAGAGTAGAAGAAGGCTCAGAGCCAGCTGTGTTAACAGATGCTCATCCTTCTCTACCAACAATATCAGAAACATTAAACCTCAGGAAATGAGACAGCTCAAAGTTGGTAGGACTTCCTGGAGAAAATACATATATCATGTAGTAAACAAGGGGCCCTGCCTAAAGCACAAAAAGCCGTAATAATAAAACTATGTAACCTACAGTAGATACTTGCATAAATATTTTTATAGCTAAACTATAATGCTTCTGGGTGAATTTTATTAATTTTTTTTTTTTTTACCGATTATAGATTGTACACACACACACAGATTCTGTACAAAAATATTTGTCTAGGGTGGCTATTTATGTCTTTGGCCTAACGTGAACATAAAAAGAAGAGTATATTAGAGTTCCAAACATTCTTTTAACAAAAAGTGAGGTAATACAAAATGGCATTTGACAGTACTTAGAACTAAACGCTAGGCAGATAACCGAAAAAAAAAATAATGTAGTTCTGTAAACATTAATACAACATTAATTTTTTTTTTTTTCAAATGCGAGCAGCATAAGTACCTAAATTTTATTTGGTATTATCCTCTTGTAGTCTACTGTACAGTTTGTACAGCCAAGCTCAGAGGGGGGGAGGCAGAATCACAAAGAACCAGTTAAGTGAGCATGCTGAAAGGAGGAGAGAGCAGAGACAGAGGTTTAGCTCATCCGTGTTCTCCTTCACTATCCAGTCATGGAGTGAACGTTTACGTGCAAAGACAGAAGGAGCTAAAACAAATCAAAGTCTGTTGTGAACTGTGGCCATTTCTGCAAGAGGCCTCTAGAACCTCAGGAAATTGCTGCAATTTTCAATGAAAAGGATAATGACAACAAATATTGATTTAAAGTGTATCTAAAGCCTAATTTTTCCCCGTGTTAGGTGGAGCAGGGAAGGGTTAGAACCGCACTCAGATTTTTGACATCCATGTCCCTGCTGGGAAGATTTACTTTCTCGATTTGAATTTGTGAACATTGTCACGTTGACAGAAAGTTATAGGAAATCTAAAAATGTCACAAGAACAGAGACAGAGTGGGAAAGCGTAAATCTTCCAATGGGGACAGCTGTTCCAGTGAAAACTAGGAGGTGATTTACCTCAAACTGAAGAGAATTCCTGTAACTTCATGTTGTAGCTAGAGGACAAAAGTAAAAGTAAATCTTGTATCCATCCCCAATTCTATCCAACACAAAAAAAAAGGCTTTGATTTCAGACTTAAGGTGATCTAAAGTTTTTTGTGTTTACTGCACCCTACTGTGAGCAAGTTATTAGCACTGTGTTCACATGACTGTTCTGTGGATTGTCTCTATTTGCTAATTATTCACATTTAAGCTGGCCATACATTATACAGTTTTCTTGTACAATTTTCCTTTAGATTTACCAAGACTATATATTACGAGGTCACACCTATACACTTTCGATGTGCATGCAATCAGTTAGACCCTTGCAATACACAGTTGAAGGTAAACCTAAAGGAAATGGAATTAAAAAATGGTATAATGTATGGCCATCCTTACATTACATAACTGATCAACAGTTTCCACTTTCTGATATATCCCATGAACTTGTTAACTCTAATAGAGAGCAATACATTGATTCTTCAGAAGGCATTTGTGACATTGTCACATGGACAGAAAGTTCTGGGAAAACTAAAAATGTCACCAGAACAGACACACAGTGGTATAAAGCATAAATCTTCCAATGGGGGCACCTGTTCTAGAGAGAAAATCCTCCTATCACCTCTTCTAACAACTTCTCTAAAGCCCACACTTCCAAGCTTTACAGACACCAAGTGCTTTAGATATATAATGCATCTACAACACAACCAGCTGATAACGTTTGAAGTACTCTTGTGGGTATAGGACTATACCGCAAATCCAAATGGTTGGAGACTAAAGTATAACTAAAGCCAAAACTTATTTATTTTTTTTTTTTAAAAAAAAAAAGCTTTGTATAGAGTGCAGAGCGATTAAAACCAGTCAGGTTTTTGGGGGTTTTTTTTTTTTTTTATTGCGGTCAGTGCCCTCTCTCCTCTCTCTTTGTCACATTTACCATTTTCATTGAAATAAATTAAACTGTAATAAACAGCAATAAAGGGGGTACCTTCCAAAGGGGACACTAGCTCGAGTGGCCCTGATGACAACCACGGATTCCCTCACTTTGGAGGCATTTCCTCTTACTTCCTGTTAGGTCTATGGGACGGGAAGTGAAGGGAAATCTCCCCAATAGGACACAGATGGCAAAAAAAAAACTGACGGGGTATAACACTCCCACACGCCACCCAAAATGAAAAGAAAAAAAAGCTTTGACTGTAGTTCTACTTTAATCCATTAGCAATGCTGATGTTGTGAGGGGGTCAGTCTGTAACTAGTAAACCAGCTAAACTGGATTCCTTTTAAAATATTGATGCAACAATCTTATATCTTGTCATCGATTTATTTAAAATATATTTCAGCATTCAGCATCACTGATACAAAATTCAGCATCACTGATAAAAAATGCAGCATTCAGCATCACTGTTAAAAAATGCAAAGAAAAAATAAGTCATTCATCCATCCCATTTAAGACAGGCAAGTATACTGTGAGCTAATAGGGTTTATTTTAAGCTTTCTTGAATAGGTAGACTATTTCAAATATTTGAGGTTTTTCAGTATCCTGGGGCATTCTGCCATATCACAGGATATGCCCTCAGAAACCAGGTGCTTCCCACAGCATGACAATAGCTCAGAATGTCAGTGAATCACATAACCAACAAAACATCTATCAGGAAGTGACCTAAGAGGCAGGAAATGACCTAATATCTTATGTTAACTTAAAGTTGTATTAATGTTGAATGTATTTCTTTTTTGTTAAGCAAACCACACTAGGAAATAAGTCCCTTTGAGCTTCTTAATTATTTATTTCACAATATCTTCCTTTGGGATTATACAAAGACTAAAACTAAATTCTAGGCAGGTGTTGAAAAATAATTAATGACATTAAGGGGTTTATTTACTAAAGCTGGAGAGTGCAAAATCAGACTCACTTTTGCATAGAAACCAATCAGCTTCCAGGTTTCATTGCCAAAGCTTCATTGAACAAACTGAGGTTAGAAGCGGATTGGTTTCTATGCAGAAGGGAGTCTGATTTTGGACTCTCCAGCTTTAGTAAATAAACCCCTAAGTGTCAATTAAAAAATAATGCAATGTTTTTTAAATGCAACTTGTATATGACAAAGGGTTTTAAAGACCTCAAGTTGGAGAGCCCATTTGCTGGATACAGATGCTGAAAAATGAAAGTCCCAGACAAGGAATGTTACACTATCCCTTTAAATGTACCAATACAACTAAAATTCTATCAAACTGTGTTCCAAAATTGCCCTAGTTCCAGCATGTTTATTGGAAGTTGAGCCTCCTCTGATAACCAAGTACCCTGTACCTAGAAGACAGGCTGGCATTCATTGAGAGAATGTTCCATGACTTTGGAGAAAAAGTTTTCCTCAACTTCAGAACCGGTGTGGAAATCCACAAAGTCAGGAAGAGTTTGGCCTTGGAGTTCAGAGACATCGAGTGATCCAAGGGTTGAGTCATTTTCTTTAATGCGGCCAGAATATTGAATTGCAATGGTGTGGAATGCAACTGGGCATATGACACCACCTTAAAGGAAACTACCTGTCAGGGATCATCGCGACGCATGGGTCTACACATGCGTAGGCGTCTGTCAAGACGTACAGGTAGCAGGGCACTAGGACCCAGGTGCACCCGTCGTCTTGACAGTACTAGGCAGGCACTGGGACCTAGGCGGCGACTGTCAGGTGCAGGGCGGTCTACTTAAGCCAGCCCTGCACAGACGCTTGTTGCCGAATGGTCTTTTGTATCCTGTTGCCTGTGTAGTGAGTACTCTGATCTGGATTGTCTGACCTTGTTGTCTTCTCCTGTCCTGACCCCTTGGCTTGCCTGACTCTGCTCCTGGATGTTCCCTTATAGATCTGATCTTTTGGTATTGACCCTGCGTGTGACCCGACTATCCTTTGCCTATCGTCTTGTACCTCACCGACCCGCTAGTTACCGACCCGGCTTGTTTGACTCTGACTTTGCTCATCCGTCCATCCAACCCTCAGGGATCCCTGGGCTCCCTCACATCAGACTCTTAACCCGCTGGAGCCCTTGGCAGACTCCTCTACCTCTGGTAGAGATACCTAGAAGCCGCAACCTTGTCCCGGAGTGCTCCAAGTCCATCCCCACCATCAGGGGTCCTGGTGAACAAGTGCTCCGGTACTTAGACTCCGCACTCTGGGGAGGCTCTATCAGGGGACTGATAGAGGTACTGTCAGGCGGTCCGTTACACT